GCATCTGTGGTGTAGTGGTTAGCACGGTCGCTTCCTACGCGACAGACTCGGGTTCGATCCCCGACGGATACCAATTGCGTAGAATTTTTGCATGAATTTCTAGTTGTATTTTATTAATTTTATTTAAATTTATTTATTTTTATTTAAATTCATATTTACCTTCCGTTCCATATATATTTCAACTTTTGTTTATGTCTCTTTCTCCAGTGCTTACATTACGAAAGAGTATGAAGAAATTAGGTGTGATTTTGGATTCTTTAATTTGCTTTGTTGTTTGATCGTGTTTATGCGCGATTTCAGAAGTAATATGAGAAGCAAAGACTGGGAGGAGGAAGAAGAGGACGAACAAGTGCTCAAGAGTGTCATGAAATATATGAATATTACTTCAATCCGTAATGAAATGAAAACACAAAGCATAGACAAACCAGGCAGCTTAGCTACCAAGGTGTAAAACACTATTTCTATGTCACTGTTGAATTGTGTCAGCTGGATCCTGCGCTAACCATGTATCTTTTATTTTGTTCCGTATGATTTGTAATTCTTGTTTTCCTTTCATTTCATTTTCTGTTTGTACCATATGAGATGAGTTGTTGTTATTCACCTTATAAGATTTCTCGTCCACATTTCGTTTTATTCTCTCTTCCCATGAAGCTATTTATTTTTTATATATTGTTTATATTGATACCATTTGATATATTACATTATCCATTCGAAGATTAATAAAATGAGTATTCTTTTAAACATACACTACTGAGAAAGTACCTAATTTCATAGCGACACAGTTGTATAGTGACTTATATGTTTTCTTAAACGTACTGCGGTTAGGTATAGACTGTTACTTCAATAGAAAATTATAAGACATTTATGATAAAAAACATGATTTCATCTAACAGGAATTCGAATGGACACCAATGACTGCGAAATTATTGCTGATCGTTGACATGGAATGTTAACGAAAGCTACTTTCAAGACGATCGTTGTATTAAATCTACAAGACGCTTCAAAGTTTAAGCCTCAGTTTATAAGTTCAGTTCTATTTCTCACGTCTTTCATTTCATTTGTATTTCTTTCCTTTCATATCTTCATAATCTAAAAACTTGCATTTCAGTACACACACACATATATATGCATATATATATATACATATATATATATATATATATATAATATATATATTATATATATATATATATAATATATATATGTATGTATGTATATACATATAAATATATATATATAATATATATGTATATATATATAATATAATATATATATATATATGTGTGTGTGTGTGTGTTTGTGTGTGTGTGTGTGTGTGTGTGTGGTGTGTTGTGTGTGTGTTTGTGTGTGTGTGTGTGCTATACATTTGAAATATTCTGATTCTGCTTTTTTGTATATTGTATATTTTTTGTGCGATAGTCAGTGCCGTGGCTCCTTTTAGATGGTCAATTTCGTTTATTTACTTATTCACTCTGGCTAATATATAATAACCTGCATCATCATAGAAAATGGGTAGAATTAAAAGGAAAACGGGGAAGCCCTGTATTGGGAATCTTCGATGGCAATTTTCCGTATTTAAGCTCCACTTTATTTTTAGTTTTATCTTTTCTCTCTGTAGATTTTTGTTTCATTGTTAGTTCTTTTATTTTATTTCCATCATTTTCAGCTTGCAGTTCAATATATATGTAATATATATACATTTGTGTGTGTGCGTGTGTAGGCCATGTTATCAGTGAATTCGTATGTATACATACTTTTTCGATAAGCTGTGCATTGGCTCCTTTTTGATTATCATATTCGCAGCTACTTAAATACAGTGGGCGCACTTTGTAAAACTACACGTATATTTTACTGTTTTTTCTCTTTTTTTTCTTTCTTTCTATATTTTTTCTTCTTACTCTTATAAAAAATATATATTTCTATCTCTCTCTCTCTTACTTTATTTCTCCCCCTTTCTTTAATTACCCTTTCCTTCGTTATCCCCTTTTCTTCTTTTCTCTCTCTGTATCTTTCTTTTCCTTTTTTCCCATTCTTTTTTTCTCTCTCTCACTTTTTATCCTGCTTCTCCCCCTTCCTCTCTTTATTCCCACTTTAACTACAATTTTCCCTCTTCATTCTTCGTCGTTTTTCTCTTTCTTACCCTTTAATTACTCTTTTTCCTCTTCCTGGGTCCCTTTTATCTTCTTTTTTTCATTTTTTTTTCTCCTCCCCCTTTACGCCATTTATCTCTTTTCCTTCTCCCCTCTTTCTTCTTCTTTCTACCTTATACGCTCATTCCATGTCCCTTTTCCTTGTTTCTTTTTGTTCTCTCTCTATCTCTTCTTCCCTTTCTTTTCATATTTTCTTTCTCGTTTCTCTTCCTCTTTATCTGCTTTCTTTCTCCTCTCATTCTTTCTCTTTAGATATGCTTTGTTTCCTTCCCTTTACTTCCTACTTCCTTTACTCTCCTTTGGCTTTATTCACAGCCTTTCTTCACTTCCTTCATTCTCGTCTCCCTTTCCCCTCTTTTCCTCAGGAAGGCGCGTTTCTTAGAGCGGGTTGGCTAGATAGCATATTAAGTTATAATCAGATTTTTATTTATTTACTTATCTATTTCATCAGAGGCGTCTTCGCCCAACCCAGATGCCATTCCATTTGGTGATCCCGATCCAGGGTTTTTTTCTTAATGATCCTATCGGTTTTCCCAATTACCTTTGCGGGATTTTTATGAAACATTTGCCAGAGGTGTGTCTTGGCCCAACTTAGATGCCACGCAACACACTTGCACGAGGGCAACATATATATATATATATATATATATATATATATATATATATATATATATATATATATATATATATTACACACACACACACACACACATTTACACACACACGAGGATATATACACACAGAGTGGAAAAGATACCAGAGAAGGTAGAGGCTCCGTCAGTGCGAGAAGAAAATACACACGGACATTTACACACACACGCATATCAACACTCTCACTCACACATGCACAAGGACAGACACACACGCACACACACATACACACACGGGCACCTACAAACATACACATACATGGACACAACCATAAAGACACACATTCTTCCATATCGAGGGTAATCAGCAATTCAAAGCCAATTCGCATACTTGAATTGATCGTCGTGGTCGAGTGGCTTCAGTACTCGGCTCGTGACTTTTGGGGTTCTTGGAATTTCCAGGTCGCGGGTTCGAGTCTCCACGGCGGTCGGTGTGTAACATGGCCGCGTTCCAACTGCTGGCCCAAACCCGATTTCATGGCGAGAAAAAGGTCTATCTCCATGAGGATGTTAAACGCGGGTGCCTTGGGGGGTTCCAGGCCGGGGTGGAAGTGGGGGGCTACTTCGGGATGAGCGTTCGGTCCGCGATTCACCTCCGCGTCTCGGAGGCGGATGGCGGCCCACGGGATTCCTGCAGATACTCCCTGCCGGTCACTGGCCTCGGAAAACGCCTGGTTACACATCTCTAAACCACTCGCACACAAACACTCACTTGTACACTCACATATACACACATATACACTCACAAGTACACACACAAAACACTCATATACACACTCATATATATATATATACATATATTTACATTTATACTCACATGTGTATATTTACCTAAATTTTTCTTGTGAAAAAGTCGACGATTTCATTTAACGCGATTCAGCATATCTAAAAAATAGTAATAAAGATGAATAAAACAAAAACAACAGCAGCAATAATAATGGTAATAATGATAATAATAATAAAACGATTTTGAGAGTTACATATACATTCAGTATATATATGAATATATGTGTGTGTGTGTGTGTGTTTGTGTGTGTGTGTGTGTCTATGAATGTGTATATATGCATATCTAGAGAAAGAGAGAGAGAAGGAAAACGTTACATATACAGTACATTCGATATAGATACACATATAAGTACATAATTGCATATAATATATATATATATATATATATATATATATATATATATATATATATTATATATATATAATATAATATAATATACACACACACACACACACACACACACACACACACACACACACACACACACACACACACACACACACACACACACACACACACACACACACACACACACACACACATATATATATATATATATATATATATATATATATATATATATATATATATATATACATATGTGTGTGTGTGTGTGTGTGTGTGTGTGTGTGTGTGTGTGTGTGTGTGTGTGTGTGTGTGTATATATATATATATATATATATATATATATATATATATATATATATATATATATATATATATATATATATACATATATATATATATATATATATATATATATATATATATATAATATATATATATATATATATATATATATATATATATATATATATATATATGTGTGTGTGTGTGTGTGTGTGTGTGTGTGTGTGTGTGTGTGTGTGTGTGTGTGTGTGTGTGAATGAATGAATGAGCGAGTGAGTTGACAGATAGAGAGTGTGAGTGAATGAGAGAGAGAATGGATGAGTGAGTGAGTGGGTGACTGAGTGAGCGAGTGAATGAGAGAAAGTTACATATACATTCAATATATAATGTAAACACGCGCCTCCTTTACACCTAAATAGACAGACAGATGGAATTAGAGAGGGAGAGGGAGAGAGAGGGAGAAATGTCTCTGCTGACTGTCAAACCGAAAATGGTAACAACAGTTATATATTTCAAACAAAAAGAGGGTAATTCTCTCATTAGAGTAAAAAAAAGTAAATTTCACACATAAAATGAAGTATAGACCTGTGTTCTACCACAAAGGACAAGACTGCGGTCAACACGATCTACGATTTCAGTTTTTTCGAGACCTTTTTGTTCTTTTTTCCTTTTTTCTTCTTTTTTTTTCTAGGATTTTTTTTTTTTTTAATTTTGGGGGGAAAACATTCTTTTCTAAAACATTCCTCTGTTTATGTGCTTACGAGTGAGTGAATTAGAGAGAGAACACGAGTGAGTGAAAGAGTAAGCGAGTTGAAAGAGAGTGAAGGTTACATATGCATTCAGTGTATAATGTAA